GCAAAATATAATCTGACTGTTTCAGATGAATAAAAATCTGAAGCTAATTTCAATTAACGATCAATTAGTAAAGATCAACAAGTATTGATCAATTGACATATGCGATGTATTTGGCGTAGGTAATCAGTTTATGTATTTTGTTAAACAAATATTGTTAAAATTTTATATAGTAATAATAAAATATTGGTAATTACATCATAGAATGTTACAGAGATCCTTTTTGTTACTGTTATAACGATAAATGCTTTATTAAGAATTTTCTGATGGTAAAATGACTTTATAAATTCGATAAACTGTACTTTTTAAGTACTCGCACAAAATGTTTGTACATTTTTTTCGTAATATTTGAATTATCAATGTTTCATTCATAATTTTTAATTCATTAGTTCGAATTAATGATTGCTTAATTTGTATAATTTATTATTACGTAAAAAATTATGTATAGTTTTGTCTAAAAAATATATTAGGGACAACAAAAATTCATTTAAAGATAATTTATTATAAAAATAATTTTTGATTTGTTGTCCGTTTTTGAGAAAGTACAACAATAAAAAATATCTTTCTTCTAATAAATTGTGAATGAACTTTCAAATAATTGTGCAAGATCCTCTTTTGATTGTTCTCGTGGTGCTAATTTTGTGATGCGATGCTGTAAACAAAATAAAAATATATTACTAATGTTACAATACTCATAATAACATGTAAAAAATATGTAACCATAAAATATACACATAAATTGTGTGATCATACAAATATAAAAATATGTATTATTAAGTTACAATTGTAAATTTATCATATATGTCAGTATAAAATGTAAAGAATATGGCAAATTTACTTAATTGTAATAATTCACATATAGTGACTAATAAATCACTATGACACACGCACTTCGACTTTTCTTTTACTTGGCAAATTTATAGTTTCTAATGAAAATGTTTAATTTAATTTAATTATTCCAATTAAAATACTTGTATTTGTCAAATATTATTCCTTATTATTCAAATATAAATTTAGCTGTAGAATTACCATTTTACATATTACATACATTGGTATAAAGTATAATACTTGTAACAAATAAAGAGGAAGAAAGTAATAATGTACCGTACCTGCGGTAATGTGCCTTCAACTAAAGCAGGAATATCTTCTTTTTTGAAACCCAATTCGGCCAAACCATTCTCAATCTTCATTACTTGCATGTACTCTTTCACAGTGTCTGCTAGTATTTTGCCAGCATCGCTTCTCTTTGCTCGATTGATATCAGCACCAAGTAATTCAGCAGCTTCTAAATGTCTTTCTGAACACGCACTTCCAGTAAAAGAAAATACAGCAGGTGCTGATATGACAACTGAAAGACCGTGTGGCACTATAGGATGATCTTTGTTATAACCCTGTAATAAACAATATAACATAAATATTACTGATGTATTAATGACATATTTAGTAGGTATTTATGCTTACTAACTACCTTTTTTAAGTTACTATTTATTATTTTTTTAATACATTCTATAAAAGATATATTTATAAAATTTATATTAGATGTACCTCAGGTTGAAAGTATTGTGCATTTCCACTAATGGGATAAGATAGTGCATGACAAAGATGAACTCCAGCATTACCAAACCCAACACCTGCCATAGTACTTGCAAGATGCATGCTACTTCTAGCTTCAAGATCATCTGGGTTATATACTGCTCTTTTAAAATATCTGTATGCAAAGAAGTAAATAACCATATTAAATTTATAAAACACTATAATTATTACTCTACTGTTAATTTCATTTTAAAACTATTATAAAATAAATTCATTCAATGTAGTGTAATTAACAACAATTCAATTTATTTAAAAAGTATCCAAAATTAATTTTATATACATAACTATGAATAAAAATAATTTAACTCCTTAGAAAGATAGAAAAAGTAAATGTAAGTCCATGATATTAACACAGATTATACTGAAAATGACAAACTACATAAACTAAATTTAATTAACTGGTAATTATTTCTATTATAATAACATTTTTATTTACTTGCGCATTGTTTGAAGTGCATATTTTGACCATACATCACTAATGGGATTACTACCCTGGTAAGCTGGTCTAAGAATCGGATTGGAAGGGCAAGGTTTTCTTTCTGTGTATGGCATAGCAGTAAAAGATTCAAGAGCATGGCACAGCACATCAAAACCAGAATAGGCACAGACTCTTTCTGGCATGCTCAATGTATGTTTTGGATCAATCAGACCCAAAGTAGGTCGTAAAGCTCTAATAGAAATAAATTTGTCAAAATA